CTTATGCCTTTGATCCTGCAATGTTGCCGCATGTAATTGCGTCCCATTGCACACATGTTGTATGAGCGCACTGCTCTTGATATGAGTGTGAAGTGAGAGTCAAAACCAGATTACAGCCTAATCAAATCTCCTCTTGTTCGATGATACTTCTCGTTCTCCCCTCTCTTTAAACCTTTCCAACAGCCACAAGTAGTTTCCGCTTAGCTTCCTCCATCTTCCTTCTATTCATAGTGTTGGTTGCTTTGTTGATTTCTATCTCCTTCCTAATCTTTTGCTTACTGATATAGTCTCCATATCTAACTAAGCGTTAGGCATTAGACCAATCTATCTGATGTCCTGTGCGAACCATGTGTTCGGCCAATTCCGATTTCTTGACCCGCATACCCTTGCAAGTTGTTTTGTTTTTGAATAACCTCTTATGTATGCGCCTACAAGTCTCTCCTACATAGGCATTAACACACGAACACAAAATCTCGTAACAGCTCGATTGTGGAGCGGGTCAGAGTATTCTCTAAAAGAAGGCGATGCCGAGGACAGGACAGAGGGTGCTGCTGTCCCACCTCAGTAATTCGCCTATCTTCGATGGATTACGCGATGACATCATAAGGATCCTGGTAGAGTGATCTCTATAATAAGCTAGCCCCAAATATGTATTTACCTTTATTATATTTGACAATATTCCGAAATAGTTGTCAATCCGCCCTCCTGGATACTTATTCTCAACCAGAATTCGTTTTAGTCTCCTCATCTTCTGTTCCAGATGCTTATCATCTGCCAGACGTAGGCTCCTTATTATTATAGACTTCATAACTCATAGCTTAACCCCGTAAGTGTGGTTGGATAAGAAATTCAAAAGAAAACATGCATTTGTGGGTTTCCTATACACATCTCTACCTAATCTGGTCCCCTCTTTGTTAACTAGGGCATCAAGAAAAGATAAACCAGCTTCATTTTTTTACTCGATGGTGAATTTCATCTTCCCATTGATCCTGTTCATCAAACTAAGAACATTCTCCAGGTTTTCCTTCCCATGTTGCGAAATATCAAAGTAGTCGTCCATATAGTGAACTAATAATTTAGGAACTAATAATTTAGGAACTAAAAGTGTCTTCTGAATTAAGCGTTCCTTACATTGTGCCATGTAATTATCTGCTAAAATTGGTAACAAACTTGATCCCATAGCTAAACCTTATGTTTGTTCGTACACCTTACCATTAAGGGTAAAATATTTACAGTACATCGTTAGGTTGATCAGTAACATTATTGGCCCTTTATTTAATTTCATCCTCGTTAATGTGTCCGCATGTTAGTCTAGTGTGGAATGCAGGGCCTGTATGGCATCATCTACAGGAATTTTAGTGTACATAAACTCAACATCAAAACTTACCAGCAAATCCCCACTTTCTATCTCCTGCTCATCGACTAAGCTAATGAATTAATTGCCTGTTCAGACTTTTTACAGCAAAACAATCGTTTTTCAAAATATCTGATGACCTCATCTCATTCATTTTTAGATTTGGTGACTAGAATTCCATGATTACTTTTTAAAAAGGCTTGAGAATGATAGAATTGAACGTGTTCATGTCTATTTTCTCAACATGAGCTGTCATATAAGTATTACAAGACTGAAGGCCAAAGTGCTGAATCCTACAAGGAGTGTCTTTTTCATTTTGCCTTGTGGCAAAATTCTGTCATGACCTTTGAGTTCGACCTTATTGATTTTTATTTTAACTACTTTCTTCATAATTTATAGGTGAATCATTAGCATGCTTCTCATCCATTATTGTATTGAATCCTTTAATAAAATGCTTCTCTCCTTGTATTTATCTACATTATGCTTTTTTCAACTTGTCTCGCGATATTTGAGTTTCCAAAGAGATAGATTCATTCCGGGCAATCCGACACGTTGGGGGGCATCAAAAATCAAATATATATCACTTTTTTATCATAAGGGCATTATTAATTATACTTCTGCGATCATATACGCGAGTTTAATTCTTTATATTGATCTTATTAGTAATTTCTTTTATTGGCTTTGTGTACCCTCTTTAAGCGTTTGTAAACGCATACTTTGAAAGCAATACACAAATAACGGTATAATTTAGAGCTATTCATCCATATAGCGGAGTGCATCAGGCATTTTCTTACTAGATAATGAAAGGATATACCATTCTCTCAATAGAGCATCTACAGTATACTTAATTTGGCCCTACTATCAGTTGCCTTATGCCGTTTTTCATTAATGTTTCGTCCACTTTTAGCTAAAGTTTGCTCTTTTATCTCAATCGGCGGTTCTAAGTTAAGATGAATTGCAATTTTAACCTTGTCTGATGGCTTATACACACACCCTTGACGACAAGTATAACATTGTAAGAAGACCTCATTCAACCTACATTCTTAGCAAGGATGAGAAACCTTGTTTGTTATTAAACTCGAAACTTTGCTACAGTTTTGCTGGTCTAATCAAATGACTGATTTATAATTAATTATCATTATACTCCCTCGATACTTTGTGTGTTTATAATACTACCTAATTCATTTGATTTTTATTTCTTATGCAAAGGAACTAAGCCAACGACTGACTACCATACGGAGCCCTAGTAGCACAGGTTCAGGAGGCTCTTCGAGTGGAGCAGCTGCCTCAGGTGCCACTGGCCCTGTACTGCAAGAGTTGCAGCTCCAAGATTACCAGGTTCTTCAACAAATCGATGCGCAACAAGCCCAGTTACGCCATGTACGTAACCAGGCTCGTCTTGTGAAGCAAATGTTGTCAAACTGTGGTTCAACTGCTATGCTGCTGGCTGGGCCTGCAGCTGCCTCTGGCATGAGTGCAGGTCTCACTACTACTATTAGTGCAACCAGCAGTAATACTAGTGCCTCTTCCTCCACCGGAGTGGCCAATGAAGTCTCAGGAGCTTGTACCACCTCAGCCACTACTTCCACCGCCTCCATAACAGTTACCCCTGGAGCGGCTAGTCCTGCTGATGTGCTGGTATCCAGACTAGCTGATCTCAAAATGGTTACTGGGTCTGCCTCAACCACAGGACAGTCTGCACAAGGCACAAATGGTAATTAAATTTTGTTTATGTACATGAACATGGATTGGAATGCATAAATTTGCTTGCGTACTTAAATTTGCTTTTTATTGAGCTGATTTATTCATTCATTTTCGTAGGTTTTTCGGTCACTAATTTATTATTTTTAAATGAGAATTCCATGATTTCTCATTTCACATATTTTGTTATTATCTAAGATTTGTTAGGTGGAAAAATCTTTGATTTTTTATATAAATTTAGATGGAACATCTTCATAGGTTGTTTACATTGAAAACCGAAGAATGATTTACATGAAGTTGTGAATTTCGACCTGAACTCGATTGTTTCATCGCGTTGTTCAGATTACTACCTCATGCTATTTCAACGAGAGACAGTTCTTAAACAAAACCTCATAACTAGATTGTAGTTATGAAGATCAAGCTGATGTGGCCTTCTATCTGGTTGCAATCTTCTTTAGCCTTATAGTGTTGGTTCGATCCTATTTTCGCAAATTGGTCGGAGCGTCAGGGAGACCTTGTGGAACGTACCTAGTCCCGTGTCCTATGCCATAGTATTCGTGATTTCCAGCATTGGACTATTGGCTTGGTGCTTTCCCAAACGTTTCGTCGGCATCGTCGATAAGAGGTACGATAGTAAGCACAGAGTTCCACAAGGTATCCCTGACGCTCCGACCAATTTGTGATTATAAGGTCTAACTAAACCCCCATAACTTTTATTTCAGACAGAATCAAGCATATGATTATCTGACCTAAATTTCCGCATCTGCCAATTTTTGATTAAAACATTAACTCCTAAGCGAATGTATGAAAAACAAGATGGTGTAGCCTTTTGTGTGATCGCAGTCTCCTTTCGTTGTATAGAAGTTATTTGACCCTGGTTTCGCAACTTGGTCATATTGGTAGGAAGATTTAGAGGAATTCATCTAGTCCGGAGTCCATTGTATGCATGGTAATTTCCATAGAAGGACCGTGAACGTGGTACATTCATAGACGTTTCGCCGGCATCGTCAGTTAGTCTCGTCATTACCACCACACAACAACCCGTCAAGGAGACAAGTAAAGCCTATCCTTTGACCAAACGTATGCTAAACAGTTATGGTATCTCTCCTGACCTGGGCTATTCACATTTCCTATATCCTATCACGCCTTCACTGTTACAATTTTTACCGTTCTTATTTAGATGTATTGTCGTGTGCTCCTTTGAGTGGCATTCATGAAGACCCTTCATACTACGCGCTGGCGTTCTCACCCCCTTCACCCTTGTGCTGGGAATGTTGATCAGTCTGCCATATTGTTGCGCAGTCATCCTTTCATAGGTCTTATCACAGTCTCTCTCTTGTCCCGTAAGATTCGTCTTCTCTCTCCCTGGTTCACGCATTTCACTCGACATCTGTCACTCCATCTGTGATACTCGGGGCGTTATTCGCCCTCTCCTACGTCTGGGTGACTAATTTGAGGCTCAAGCCTCTGAGTAAGTTTCATCGTCAAGCCGTTACTACATGATCCACGTCTATGGAAAAAACAAATCTACTGTCAGCCAACTAGGTCCAGTCTCCGCCGTGTCTATCCTGTCTATCCGTAATACCAAGTCTATGACTTGCTATGTCTTAGTCTCTTGTGTGCCAACCCACAAACGTTGTGGTTGCCAGCTGCAATTTTACCTTTTCTTTTAGCCTGATTTTAAGGAAGCATCTCATGAGTTGGTTGGCTATCCAATGCTTTCTGAAAGTGAAGTGGCTGAGGATGATGTGTTAAGTATGGGGATTTGCCGCCAAGCCGCTTCTTGACGCATATGATTGTGCTCCATTGGGCATGTGCTGTTTGGTTGTAATTATCGTGAGTTGCGTGAGATGTTAGGTCCAAGAACAGATTCGAGGGCAATCCAGCCTCATGCTTGTCGGTACTTGCTTCTCTCTGATCTTATTAATAGCCACAAGTAGTTTCTGCTTAGTCTCCTATACTTATTCCCTCTATATAATGGGCTGGCCCTATTTGTTATTTCTTCAGATTCATTAATCTTCTGTTTATTGATATAATCTCCATATTCAATTAGGAGGTTGGCTTTAGACCAGTCTATATGGTATCCTTTGTAAGCCATGTGTCAGGCCGGTTTCAATTTTATTGACCCACAAACCTTCGCCGACTATTTTATGTTGAAATAGTCTCTGGTGTATGGATCTGCTGGTCTCCACACAAACGCTACCGCATGAACACAAAACTTTGTAACAGTCCTGTTTGGAAAGAGCGTGCGAATGTTCCAAAGGAGGGTATTATTTTCTCCTTACATAATGTCCTGGTGTCCCAATCCCTCAGTAATTCGTTCGAAAGTGGACAGGACCCAAATAGATGCTTCCGTCTATCATATTTGTCAATATTCTAAAATAATTTTCAATAGTCATAGCGGATAATTAATCTCAATCAATTTTCTTCTTAATCGTCTTAGTTGCTTCTATATTAGCTGATTATTTAATCGTCTTCTTTTTATCCCCCTCTCCTCTCTTCCCCTATAGATATTTCATTTTCAGCGTCGTTTTCCTACTGTTATGATTAATAATATTGAGATTCTCCTAATTTAGATTACTACTTTACTCATATATTTAATTACATATTTACTTCAACTACAAGATGTTGAGGTCGAGGCCATCATTTCATATCCTCTATCGGAAATGTGCTCTTCTCGTTCTGATCTTTTGGCTCACAATTTTTTAAAGGCCTTTTTAAATTTCTGGTCTGGGCGTCACTTATCTATCATCAATTATTCATCACACCTAAATTATGTATCCTTCAATGTTTAAAAAATTATGTGAGTATGGAACTCACCAATTGCTCTTCAATGGATATCGCCTTTTAACCCTATACATTTCCTGTTAACTTAAAAGTTTTGCGTTCGCTTTTG